TCTGCATGTTGTGGAGGAGGTGGATTGGATGTTTGGATATAGGGCTGGTGCTTTTCTCGGTTGAAACGTGGTAGTTGGTCCCTTCGACTGTCATTATGGCGATCTCTCCTTGTCTCGGTTTGGACTGATGTTAACTGCTAGAGAGGACCGTTCAGGTCATCCTCGTCTGCCCTTACTTCGGCGCAACAGGCATTATGGATTTCTTCCCACGTGGTAGGAGGATGCTTCATGAGTCTACTTAGTAGCTTTTTGGTTGCTTTCGACCCGTTTCTGTTCAGCCGTTTTGAAAGGCTGCTACTGACATCCCTTCTAACACGTTCGGTAGGCTCATCCTTACCTTGTTGAATCGGGCTAGGAAGTCCCGAAGTCCCTTGCTCGTCGTCTGCCTGACGGCGAAGATATCGTTGACCCTGGCCTCTGCCTTTTTTGCCCCCGCATGAGCGGTGACGAACTTATCTGCCATCTCTTCGAATGTTGATATCGATCGCGCTGGTAGTTGGGAATACCATGTCAGTGCTCCCCCTGTCAAAGTTTCGACAAACTTTTTCAGCAGTACGGACGACACCTGCTCCTTCGATAGATTGTTACCTTTTACTGCGGTAACGTAATGGATTAAGTGATCCTTCGGGTTCGTGGTGCCATCATATATTTTCAAATATGGCGACATTTTGAAAGTTTGCGGGATGGAATGGGAAGCTGCCCCTTCGCTATATGGTTGTTCGACGAATCGGCCTACATCGCGTTTTGGTAATAACTTCGGAGCGCCTGGTATCTTATCAACCCTTTCCTGATGTTCCTTCATCTAGTCACAGAGTGTTTTGTTCTCATTTTCCATCTCTTCCATTTTCTTTAAGTTTGCCATAAGTGCATCGTTGCCTACATCAGTAACAACACGGGTGTTACCTGTTCGTGTAGTGTCTGGCTCATCGGCAACAACTGCGGTTTCTGCTGGTAATGTGCCTTCGGTATCTCTCTGAATAGGTTTCTCGAGCATGTTGCTCAAGGTGTTTGTCAACCATTCTTCTAATAACCTTTTCACGGACGGTGGCGTCTCTCCTACTGCGGATGTTGAGGTTTCCCTCTCGCGCAAGATCATTAGATCCTCGTGCGGGGGAGGTGAGATCTCTCCCTCAGGTGTAGCACTTGGTGTTGCGTTTTCGTTGTCTTCTCCACTGGCTTCGTTGAGGGAGTTCATGAGGTTGTTCGTGACACCTGCTATTGCCTTTAGCATTGCTTCTCCCTTTCCGGTCATTGTTGACCTTTATGAAGCTAAAGAGTGGTGATTATTTCTTTCAAGAATCTAGATGAAAACTACAATTTCAGCTATAAAAATCCCCACAGACGGCGCCAAATTGTTTGATTCAAAACATATTGAAACCTTTTTGAACCAATCAATCAAAGATGAAGAGTTAAATCTTAGCTAAGTATAATAATCTCTAGAAAGAAAAATGGATAAGGAGGAGACGACCGATCTAATTTTGGCCAAATCTTCTCATTCGTCAGTAATATTGTAACCAGTATTTTTTTATATCCCCCCTTTTTACAAGATTACTGTCCTCTATATATACAAAGAGCAAAACCCTTCTAAGCTGTCAAAGACACGTTACAAAGAATATTCGCAAGAATATTCCTAATGTCCCCTAATGGGCCCGTACTATTACAAGGGTCGTACGGTCTCTTATTTGCCTTAAGGTCGTTTCCTGCAGGACATCGGGTCAAGAAGACCCCGTCATTCGTCGTACTCGTCATTGGTCGTGGTTTGTCAAATTTGGACTCATACGGTTACCTTTAAAACTAATTCTTTATCCAAAGAAGATGCAGGAATCTTTTAGTTGTATTTACCTTTACAACAATGACAAACTCAGATCAAAAAGTTTTTTTTGGATATTCCACGAGACGGAACTTTTATGGTAATTAAGGTTTCCTTGAGAAGCTGTTCTATATTCTGTTTATAGATTTTTTACACTGTTAGGTTATTTTAATTAACAATAATGGATAACGCTTCATGATACGCCTAATATGAGCAGTGGCGAAGCTAGAAATTTTTCCAAGGGTATTCAAATTTGAAAGAAGTGAAAAAAAAATCCCAATAAAGGGTATTTTATATGTGTTATATACCTCTAAAACGTAATATTCTGCCTACATACACAACGCAATTTTTGACGAAGGGTGGTCAGTTGACCACAATTGTGACCATGTGACTTCGCCACTGAATATGAGTAATAACTTACTAGCAGAGGCGGACCTATGTGGTGAGGTGAGGGGTCATGTGACCCCGTTAGTCTCGACAAAAACTCTGTATATACATATTATATATATCTATATAATATGGAACCCCTTAAATATTTTAAGTGTGTCCCCAGAAACAAAGAAGCCGATGAGTGAAGTGGTTGATTTGTGGCCTTAAATTCCCAACTTTGCTGGGACGTATGTTCGAAACCCCCTTTGGCCCTTTAGCTTCTTTTTTTTCCCCTCCTTTCTATTTTTATTCCTTGAGTACAATATAATTTATATTTAATAGCAAATTGCTTTATCTTTTACTTTTATCTCTTTTTTTAATTCAATTATAATTTAGTACTAATATATAATAGTTAACTTTATTAATATTTTAGTTCTTTGATTACAATATAATTTATATTTAATAGCAAATTGCTTTATCTTTTACTTTTATCTCTTTTTTTAATTCAATTATAATTTAGTACTAATATATAATAGTTAACTTTATTAATATTTTAGTTCTTTGATTACAATATAATTTATATTTAATAGCAAATTATTTTTTTACTTTTATCTTCTTCTTTTTTATTTCATTTATAGTTTAGTACTAATACACAATAGTCAAGTTAATTAATTTTATTCATTCTCTTCCCATAGCACCTATTTTGCGAAGAAATCTCTGTTTCTCATATATATATAGTATTTTTTTTTCTTCTTTAGAATTTTATCGTTGGTGATTAGCATACAGTGGTGCCCCGTCGCGCTCAAATCCTGGGTCCGCCTCTGCTTACTAGAACTAATTAAATTGAATTGACCTCTGTGTATATATATAAATTGAATTTACCTCTGTGTGTATCTGTAACCTAACTTAAATCCGAATTTTTTGAAGATCTAGCTAGTATCTCATAAATTGAACTTTCAAGTGGTGAAAGTCAGCCTCACTAAAGATTGTGGGCCAGAAAGATATAGTGAAATTCTTTAGCATTAATTAATGAACTGACTGCTGCTCCTACCAACCAGTGCTTTTTATNTAGGATTGGACTACAGTAATTTGCTACTTTGGCCTCAGAAGTTTACATACCAATGCCTGGAGCTTGTAGTCATTCTGTCCATCAAATTTCTCTATTGGTTTCTTATTGGGTTAGAGCATGCATTGCTTGCTCTATGTGTGAGGCGAATTCATGATTTAATAAAGTTAGTAAATTCAAAATAAGTAAGTGATTTTATTATATATATACATTTTAAATTATTTTTGCATATGAAAATACTTAATTCAAGGCGAAAGCAATGGGTCAATTGGACCCACAGAATCTGCCTCTGGGGATCACCCTAATATGCTGCATATCTAGTATCAGGCCTCTAAAATGGTTTTGAGTTCTTCCCAAAAGCATGAATAAACTACTGTCAAACATCTCTATAACAACCTCATTTGTTCAGGATTTTTTTGGCTGTTATAGTGTAGTGCCGTTATAGAGAACGTACATTATTAGTAATATATATAGCATGAAAATTGGTTCCATAAAAATTTGACTTTTATATGAATGCTTATTATATAAGATGCATGTTGTTATAATGTTAGCATATGTTAAGGTGCTACTTTTTGGAGTTGTGCTTGCAGGGGATCAATGGTATCGACTTCACAGAATAGACTGTTGGTTGGTGAACAACAGCAACAACAACAAAGTGGAGGAAGGGACGGTTTGATGGATCCGGACGCGCTGGCACAGACCTACTGGCACTTACACATTCAAGACAGATCTGCTTGGACACAAGAGATCGATCTCCACCCCTCCAATCCAAGATACATGTAGAAAGAAATGAAATACCTGCCTTTTCTTGAATCATTAATAATTCAAATGCCCATATGTTCTTTTCCTTTGTTATGTGATTCTGGTTAACAACAAAGTGGCAAGGCTCAAAGCTGAGTCACTGCCATTAATGTCGCCCATGTGTACTATATATATGGCCTACTAAGTTAGACATTTTCGATTTAGTTGTGGTATTGTGTGATTGATTGGGACACTATGTAAATTTGATTTGCTTTGGAATTGTAAAAGTAGAATTTGAAGGAACATGAATGAGATCTTCGCACGAGTTTTGAGAGGGGAAGTTATTTGACTCAAAAGATATAGAAATATTTTTCAACAAATCAATCAAAAAAGATAGAAAGGGTAAATCCTAGCTAAAGATAATTAACTTTAGATTCGAGATAAATAATATGAATAGAAAAACATAGCCGAGTATAAGTATTAATCGTGATTATGGTCAGATGTAATAGCATAAACAAAGATGCATTAAGTAACATTAAGTGACAATAAAATGTAAATAAAGGAAAAAATTCACCTAATCTTGAGTAAGACGGATCTTCTTTCATTTTATAAAGACGAATGATAGACAAATACAAGAACCTTAGGACCCATTTTGGATCCGAAGAAGGTATGAGATCACAGATCCTCCAGAGAGGTGTGTTTACATATTTTCTAGAGAGATGGAGAGGGAGAGGGAGAGAGCCCCCCTTTTTTGGAAGTCCTCCCTTCCTATTAATAAGGAGTATCCATAAAAAATCCTAAAAAGTACAATTAGAGGGAATATTTAGTAGAATATTCCCTTTGAGGATTCCAAAGCAAACTAGCTATTTCATCGTTGTCCGACTTCGGTCTTATTGATGATTGTCCGACCTCGGCTATTGATGACTCTTCGACCTCGGTCTTATTGATGACTGTCCGACTTCGGCTATTAATGACTGTCCGACCTCGGCTATTGATGATTGTCCGACCTCGGCCTTATGTTTGTCTGACCTCGGCCTTATGTTTGTCCGACCTCGGCCTGTCCAACCTCGGCCTTATGTCTGTCCGACCTCGGCCTTATGTCTCCGCGTGCCGAATTTCTCTGATCTAATTTTGACACATACAGTTAGTCCATCCGCTTATTGAGGTCATCTCTTGGTCGAGCTCGGTGAGCGCACTTCATTTATCGTAGTTCGAGAAATTCGGATGGGAAGGTCGACTAGTGTGGATCGCGGCTGAGGGTGCCGATCTTTAGGTCAAAGTGGTATCCCCGCGGGCTGAACTTTAGCAGAGTTTGATTAGGTCCAATGACTCGAGCGATGACTCGATCGAGAGGATGGTAGAGTTGGGGAAGGCCGCCGAGGCCGGGATGGCAGCTTCGGTAAGAATGGCGGCATCGGAGGAGGTCATTCGCGTCCTCGGATCTGGACGGGTGAGTAGGCCGAATGTGAATTCGGATGAGGTCGCCGAATGTAAATTCGGGCGAGGTCGAATGTTGATTCGGGCGAGGTCGAAAGTTGATTCGGGCGAGGCCGAATGTTGATTCGGACGAGGCCGAATGTTGATTCGGACGAGGCCGAATGTTGATTCGGACGAGGTCGGATGTTGATTCGGACGAGGCCGGAGGTTTATTCGGACAAGGCCGAATTCTTCTTTTTGGTGATGCCTCTTGGCTGTAGGGGTGTTATTTCGAGCTGGTCGAAATGTTAACCCATCGTGGTTCGAACTAGGTCGACCTCTTCTTTTTTGGCGATGCCCCTTGGCTGTAGGGGTGTTATTTCGAGCTGGTCGAAATGTTAACCCGTCGTGGTTCGAACGAGGTCGACCTCTTCTTTTTTGGCAATGGCCCTTAGCCGTAGGGGTATAATTTCAAGCTGGTCAAATGTTAACCCGTCGTGGTTCGAACGAAGTCGACCTCTTCTTTTTTGGCGATGGCCCTTAGCCGTACGGGGTCGACCTTCTTCTTTTTTAGCGATGGCCCTTGGACGTAGGGGTCGACCTCTTCTTTTTTGGCGATAACTCTTGGTCGTACGTGATCGACCTCCTCTTTTTTGGCGATGGCCCTTGGCCGTAAGGGTCGACCTTTTCTTTTTTGGTGATAACTCTTGGCCATACAAGATCGACCTCCTCTTTTTTGGCGATGGATCTTAGCCGTATGGCGATGTCCCTTGGCCGTACGGGGTCGACCTCCTCTTTTTTGGCGATGACCCTTGGCCGTACGGGGTCGACCTTCTTCTTTTTTGGCGATGGCCCTTGGCCGTAGGGGCCGACCTCCTCTCTTTTGGCGATGGCTCTTGAACGTACGGGGTCGACCTCCTCTTTTTTGGCGATGGCCCTTGGCCAAACGGGGTCGACCTCCTCTTTGGCGATGACCCTTGGCCATAGGGGTCGACCTCCTCTTTTTTGGCGATGGCTCTTGGCCGTACGGGGTCGACCTCCTCTTTTTTGGCGATGGCTCTTGGCCATACGTGGTCGACCTTTTTCTTTTTTGGCAATGGCCCTTGGCCGTAGGGGTCGACCTCTTCTTTTTTGGCGATGGCTCTTGGCCGTACAGGGTCGACCTCCTCTATTTTGGCGATGGCCCTTGGCCGTAGGGTCGACCTCTTTTTTTTTGCGATGGCTCTTGGCCGTACGGGGTCGACCTCCTCTTTTTGGCGATGGCTCTTGGCCGTACGAGGTCGACCTCCTCTTTTTGGGCGATGACCCTTGGCCGTACGGGGTCGACCTCCTCTTTTTGGGCGATGGCCCTTGGCCGTACAGGGTCGGCCTCCTTTTTTTGGCGATAGCCATTGGCCGTAGGGGTCGACCTCTTCTTTTTTGGCGATGGCTCTTGGTCGTACGGGGTCGATCTCCTCTTTTTTGGTGATGGGCCTTGGCCGTAGGGGGTGTTCCCTGGGGGATTCCCAGTTTTGCTTAGCTTCTACATTTCTTGGGTGAGTCCCAGTTTGCTTAATTTTGCTTGCATTGGAGAATACGATGCGTTTCTCAGGTGACTGCCCCTACTTTTATTCAACTTGGAGAAATAGTTAGTTAAAATAAAATAAAAGCATTCGTTACCTCAGTTTGATCACGTTCCCTTCTCTGGTTATGCTTTCGGTGGCCGCTACCAATTTGGCAAGGCCGTCTGTTTAGATGTTTTATGCTTGGGGTATCTGGTCGAGTTGACACTCGTCAGACTCGGGCAGTAGCTTATGAATTCCTGCCTGATATTTTCGTAACCTTTGTTATTTTATTTGGAAAATCTCTATGACTTGGTTGACGACGGGTTGTGAGTCATATCGGAGGATGATTCGTCGTGCTCCATACTTGAGAGCTAGTTTCAGTCCTTGTAAATGTCAAAGCAAAAAGTGAAGTTGGCATGGCAAAGCACACGAAGGCCTGAAAGGAGGCTACTGTGCAAAACCACACCTCTCAACTGTGGTAATTTAGCTGCCAAGTGTAATATTGGGCCAAAGAAGGAATAACTAAAATTTGCAAGGAAGACATCAATTGTTATGGACAGTAGTGGAGTGCACTTAAATAGAAAAAAGTGAAACGTGGAAAGCATTAATTAAATGATAGAAATGTGTGTTATTGTTAAGCTTTGTTCCATTGACGTTTGCCAGGTTGCCCTTTCTCATCATCAAGAAATGTGATCTTCTAACTTATTGCTTTTCCTTTTACCCTTTACTGTAACATGAGGATAACATAAAAGAGCAAAGATGAATACAACTTTTAGCTCATGATAATGCTTATCGAATGAGTCCACATTGATGATTATTAATCAGCAGCCTTCAACTTCTATAATAACTTCCTACAGGGAGCATATATAAAATTGTCCTACTACCTTTATTATTGTTTTTCTGTTTTCGGCAGCCTATTGAATGTAGTAGTCTTCTTTAAATAAAGAGGAAGAAGAAAAGAAAATGAAATGATGACCCTTTAATTAGCCGCCTCTCATTTGCACAAGCACCAAATACAAAAACTATTTGGTGTATCAAATTCGTTCGGCTTCCCTGAAGACGCTCCATAGTTGGAATTGAATTTTAGATCTAAAGAAACTAAAATTTTAACTAGATAATCCCTACAGACGACGCCAAATTGTTTGATTCAAAAGATATCGAAACCTTTTTGAACAAATCAATCAAATAAGATGAAAAGGTAAATCCTAGTTAAAGATAATTAATTTTAGATCCGAGATGAATAATATGAATAGAAAAATATAGCCGAGTATGAGTATTAGTCGTGATTGTGGCCAGATTTAATAGCATAAACAAAGATGCATTAAGTAATATTAAGTGACACTAAAATATAAATAAAGGAAAAGATTCACCCAATCTTGAGTGAGACGGATCTTCTTTCACTTGATAAAGACGAATGATAGACAAATACAAGAACCTTAGGACCTTTTTTGGATCCGAAGAAGGTATGGGATCACAGATCCTCTAGAGAGGTGTGTTTACATATTTTCTAGAGAGAGGGAGAGGGAGAGAGCCCCCCTTTTTTGGAAGTCCTCTCTTCCTATTTATAAGGAGTATCCATAGAAAAACAATTAGAGGGAATATTCAGTAGAATAATCCCTTTGAGGATTCCAAAGCAAACTAGCTATTTCATCGTTGTCCAACCTAGGTCTTATTGATGACTGTCCGACCTCGGCTATTGATGACTGTCCGACCTCGGTTATTGATGATTGTCCGACCTCGGTCTTATTGATGATTGTCCTACCTCGGCTATTGATGACTGTCCGACCTCGACTATTGATGACTGTCCGACCTCGGCCTTATATCTGTCCGACCTCGGCCTTATATCTGTCCGACCTCGGCCTTATGTCTGTCCAACCTCGACCTTATGTTTATCCGACCTCGACCTTATGTCTCCGCGTGCCAAATTTCTTTGATCTAATTTTGACCCATACACCAGCAAAACTGAATGCATAGTATTTCTCGGTACAAAATACATATGTTAATACTACTATATTTTAAGTGACTACAATCTCACTCTCTATGTATACATCGAGTTAACAGATGTGTCAGGAGAAGTTTTATTTTGTGTCTCATACAACTTACACTAGTTGTATGAGGCTCCTTTTTGTCTCATAAATTTGTGGACCCCAATCTTACACTTATGAGTCCACAGAAATCTGAGTCCACAAAACTGTGAGACAAAAAAGTTGCCTCATACAATTCCATGTGTCAGCTATTTCCATCTATTTTAATGTAGGTGAAGGAGTGCAAAGGATAAGGTGAGCTTTTTAGATACCCACCTTTTCCAATTTTAGAAGGGGAGAATGAAAAAATAGGAAAGGGCACACT